AGTTTTATTTAAGAAAGGACTTGTGTCGCTAAAGTTTCATCGGAAAGAAATTATACCGAAAATTAACAAACGACCAGAGACATAACAGTTATTTATTTTTAATATTTTAGCTTGATATATCGGTGTAGGTTATTTTGATATTTCCACTTCATGTGGCGGTTGAGTGTTATTTATTTTGAATATTTCCACTTCCTGTTGTAGTGAAAGTTATTTATTTTAATGTTTCAACTTGATATGGTAATAAAGGTTACATATTTTGATATTTGAAGTTTATATGGTGGTGCAGGTTCATTTGATAGTTCAACTATTATTGTGGTGTAGGTTATTTATTTTGATATTTCAACTTGCTTTGATTGTAAGCGTTTTTTTTTTAATAATTCAACTTAATATGTTGTTTAGGTTATTTTGATATTTCAACTAAATGTGGTAGTGAAGGTTATTTATTTTGAATATTTCTACTTGTTATGGTAGTAAAGAATATTTATTTTTATATTTCGACTTGATATGGGGTTTAGGTTATTTTCATATTTCAACTTCATGTGGTGGTCCAGGTTATTTATTTTGAATATTTCCACTTGATATGGTAGGGTAGGTTATATTATTTAATATATCAAATAACTGAAGTACTGAAGATAATATGGTTCCTAGTTGTGGTGGGGGTTGAAGGTTTATTATTTTGAATATTTCAACTTACTGTGGTAGTGAAGAATAAAAATTTTGATATTTCGATTTGAAATGGTGGGGCTGATTCTTTTGATATTTCAACTTCATGTGGTGGTGCAGGTTATTTATTTTGAATATTTCAACTTAATATGGTGCTGTAGGTTATTTATTTTTATATTTCCACTTTATATGGTAGGTTAGGTTATATTATTTAATATAACAAATAACTGTAGTACTGAAGGTAATGTGGTACTTGACTGGGTGGTGAAGGTTAATTATTTTGAATATTTCAAATTAGTGTGGTAGCGAAGGTTATTCATTTCGAATATTTTAATATGATAAGGTCGTGTAGGTTATTCATTTTGATATTTGAACTTCATGTGGTGGTGAAATTTATTTATTTTGATATATCAACTTCATATTGTGGTGAACATTATTTATTTTGAATATTTTAACTTGATATGGTTGCGTAAGTTATTTATATTTATCTTTCACCTTCATATGGTAGGATAGGTTATTTATTTTGATATTTATACAGCTGTGGTATACTTTGGTGACAGATTTTCTTGTAGGCAGATTTTGTTAA